TGGTTCCAGCTGGGGGCGAGCTCTCAGCTCCCTTCGTGGCCTGGACCGAGTTTTCAGCCCCCTTGCCTTGCCCAGGGTTGGGAGGGGGAGGGCTGAGCTCTCAGGCCCCTCCTCTCACTGTGGCCAGGGCCATAGCGGGGAGGGCTGAGAGCAGTGAGTAGGGCCTCAGCTGGAAGAGGCAGGGCAGGGGGCTAGCCTCCCCAAGGGGAAGCTTCACCTGCCACCTATGAGCTCAACTAGCATTATAGTTAGAAAGATTTTCCTAATATCTAACCTAAATCTCCCTTGCTGCAGATTAAGCCCATTGCTTCTTGTCCTACCTTTGGTGGACATGGACAATAACAGCCCTTCAAATATTTGAAGGCTTATCAGGCTCCCCCTCAGAATTCTTTTCTCAAGACTGAACATGGCCAGTTTTTATAACTTTTCCTCATAGATCAGGTTTTCGAAACCTTTTATCATTTTTGTTCCTCTCCTCTAGACTTTCTACAATTTGTCCACATCTTTCTTAAAGAGTGGTATCTAGAACTCGACATAGCACTTCAGCTGAGGCGATGCAGAGCCAAATCGAACAATTACATACCATGTCTTACAAATGACACTCCTGTTAATATACTCCAGAATGATATTAGACTTTTTTGAAACTTCATCACATTGTAGATTCATTCAGTTTGTGATCCACTATCACCACATCATTTTCTGCAGCATTACTGCCTGGCAAGCTATTCCCCTTTTGTAGTTCTGCATTTGATTTTTCCTTCCTAAGTGACGTACTTTGCACTTGTCTTTACTGAATTTCATCTTATTGTTTTCAGACCAATTCTCTAATGCAGTGGTTCCCAAACTTGTTCCGCCGCTTGTGCAGGGAAAGCCCCTGGCAGGCCACGCTGGTTTGTTTATCTGCCACATCTGTAAGTTCAGCCGACTGCGGCTCCCAGTGGCCGCGGTTCGCTGCTCCAGGCCAATGGGAGCTGCTGGAAGGAGCGGCGAGTATGTCCCTCGGCCCGCGCTTCTTCCAGTAGCTCCTATTGGCCTGGAGCAGCGAACTGCAGGCACTGGGAGCCGTGATCGGCCAAACCTGCAGACGCGGCAGGTAAAGAAACTGGCTCGGTCCGCCAGGGTCTTTCCCTGCACAAGCAACGGAACAAGTCTGGGAACCACTGCTCTAATTTGGCAAGATCATTTTGAATTCTATTCCTATCTGCCAAGTGTTTGCAATGTCTCCCATCTCAGAATCACTCAAATTTTATAAGCAGACTCTCCATTTCCAAGTCATTAATGAAAATATTGACTAGTACCAAACCCAGGACTGACCCTTGCTGGACCCCCTAGATATGCCCTTCCTGACTGACAGCAAACTATTGATAACTACTTTTTGAGTACAGTCTTTCAATCAGTTGTGTTCCCACCTTATAGTAATTTCATCTAGACCACATTTCCCTAGTTTGCTTATGAGACTGTCATGTGAGACTGTCAATAGGCTTACTAATATCAAGATATATCGTGTCTTCAGCTTCCCCCCCCAAACACTAGGCCAGTAAACCTGTCAAAGGATGAAATAAGGCTGGTTTGGCACGACTAGTTCTTGAAAAATCCATATTGGCTATTACTTATCACCCTATTATCCTCTAGGTGCTTACAAATTGATTGTTTAATAATTTGTTCCAGGATCCTTCCAAGTATGAAAGTGACTGGTCTAGAATTCCTCAGGACCTCTTTCTAAAGATCAGTATTGTATCTGGCCTTCTTCAGCCCTCTGGGATCTCACCCATCCTCAAAGATACCACTAACAGTTCTGAGATTATGGTACTACAGGAACTAGCTGAAACAGAGTACATCTACTGCAATAAAAGTGGCAGCAGAGCCATAGCTGGCCTGGGTCAGCTGACTCAGGCTCACAGGGCTTGGGGGGGCAGGGCTATAAAATTGCAGTGTAGATGTTCGGGCTCAGGGCTAGAACCCAGGCTCTGAGACCCCAAATACCTAGACTGCAATTTTATAGCCCCTCAGACTGTGCCCTTTGAGCCCAAGTCAGCTGACCCAGGCCCCGAGACTCAGTGCCTCAGGTTTTTATTGCAGGATAGACATACCCCTAGGGTGCATTTCATCAGGCCCTGCCAACTTGAATACGTCTAACTTATCTAAATATTCTTTAACCTATTCTTTCCCTAATTTGGCTGGCATTCCTTCCCCTTTGTTGAGAATACTGTGTTAAGTATCTGGTCTTTCTAGTTTACCTTTTTAGTGAAGACTGAAGCAAAATAGGCATTTAAACACCTCAGCCTTCTTGATGTCATCCACAGTTAGTTCTCCTTCCACACTAACTAGAGGACCTACGTTTTCCTTCATCTTTCTCTTGCTTCTAATGTATTTAAAGAACCTCTTCTTATTGCCATTTGTGTCCATGGGTGGTGCGTACAAGAGGCTTGGGGATGCTAAGCTTCCCCCACAATAAAAAAGGCTCGCCACACAAGGGGCAAATGCTGGACGTGGCACAGCTCACCTCCCTTTGGAGGCCCGCCGCCTTCGCATCGGCCAGGAGCGCCAGAAGCTCCCTAGAAGTAGGGGAGCCACTGGTGCCTGGACTGTGGCTCCGCCCACGCTCCGCCCCAACTGCTCCTGCTCGGCCTCTTCCCCCGAGGCCCAGCCCCCACTCAGTCTCTTCCCACCTGCCTGCTCCCAGAGCGGGGCTCCAGCAGGCATGTCTCCACGCTGTCCACATCACTGTGCTCAGCCAGGCAGGAAGCCCGGGGCAGGACAGTGCACTGCCAGCACAGCCTGGGGGCCCATGCCCAGCTCCCCTCAATGCTGACCCAGGGAAATGGTGTTTCCCTGGCTTGGTTGGAGCCCAGCACCCCTCAGCGGTGGGAAGTGAATGAACCACACCATGCATGGAGCTCCTGCCTCCTGAGGTTGACTCCGGTGTAAAACGAGTTCCCCGGGCAGCTGCACCCCAAAGTTCCTCTGCCTCCCCTTGCTGCAGCCCGGGCCTCTCCCCTTCCCCAGGGCCTCACAGGGTGTGAGTGGGGGGGAAAAAGATGGGACTGAGACCTGGGGGGCATGGTGGGGCAAGAATGAGCCCTGAGGAGGGGGCAGTAAGGAACCTGGGAGAGCAGGGAGGAGCCAAAGAAGTGGGGGGCAGTGAGGAGCCCCGCAGCAGAGAATAAGGCTGGGGTTGGGCAGCAGAGCGAGGGCAGGGCTTTGGGAGTCGGGGGGGGCTCAGGGGAAGAGGCCTCATCGGGGCCTTCTAGGGAGTTTCCGGTGCTCTGTAACCTCCCCAGTGGAAAACGACACACACTGCCTATCCTTGTGTCCTTTACTAGCTGTAACTCATTTTGTGCCTTAGCCTTTCTGCTTTTATCCCTACGTGCTTGTGCTATTCTATTCAACCTTAGCAATCTGTCCATGTTTCCACTTCTTGTAGGATTCCTTTTTCATTTTCAGGTCATTAAATGACCTGATGGAGCCATGTTGGCTTCTTACTGTGCCTCCTATCTTTACTTTATACCAGGATAGTTTGCTGTTACATTAATATTGTCTCTTTGAGAAACTACCAGCTCTCCCGAACTCCATTTCCCTTAGATTGTCTTCCCATGGGGCCTTGCCTACCAGTTCTCTGAGTTAGTTAAAGTCTGCTTTTTAAAAAGTCCATTGTCCTTATTATGCTACTGTCACTCCTTTTCCTTTGAATCATGAAAGGATAGATTTGATGAACATTTTCACCCAAATTGCCTTCAACCTTCAGATTTGCAACCATTTCCTCCTTGTTGGTCAGAATCAAGTCTAAAATGACTGTCCCCCTGGTTACTTCCTCTGCCTTCTGAAACAAAAAAGTTGTCCAATACATTACAAGAACTTATTGAACATTTTGTGTTTTGCCAGATTACATGTCCGGCAGATATCTGGATAGTTAAAGTCCCCCATTACTACCAGATCTCATGTTTAGGATATTTCTGTTATTTGTTCTAGAAATGTCTCCTCCACATCATCCCTGTTTTCCCCCTTTTATCGTCCCCCAGAGACTTTCAACTGGTCTGCCTCTCCTCCTGGACCTCAGAACACATGTATATATTCTTGATGTATAAAGCAACACCTCTTCCCTTTCCCCTCCGTATGACTCAGTGCAACACCTCCAGCCAACAACAAGCGACATGAAAAATCAGAATCCAACCACCTAGCCCGTGGACTGATCAAAAGACCATGAGAAATGCCAAGTTCTGAGACAAGAAGTCACAAGTCCAATTACTCAGAATGAGATGATGGAAATCATGGCTTAATATCCCGAGGGATATTTCTGAGAACATTTCTGGACTGTGGTATACAAAGAAGGGAAATGAAAGTTATACCACTTCATGTGGTCTATAACATGAATGTTCATGAAGAGGTCATGTACAATACAATCACTACATCAGTGGAGGCAATTGTATCAGTAATTAAAAACATTATTGCATTGAAATCCAAGATCAACAACTGACAGCTTAGAGAAAAATTGTAAAAATATCTGTTTGCTCAGTCAAGCCAAACTTTTCCAAAGTAATGAACTAGATCAAAATTTGGATGGTACTAGCACCCAATGCTGTAAGTGAGCACAGTTTCAGTGTTGTATGTTATATTAAAATATGGCTTTAATCCACAATGGAACAATCACAGATCAACTGCTATATTATTTTTACATATACACAAGGATAAAACTGATAACTTACAGCTTACAGATGTTGCAGAAGCATCCATTTAAAGTAATTCGGGATGAAGATATTTGTTTGAGACTTTTTCAGATTTGTAAGGCATTATTTTGTTATGTTTTAAAAAAAGAAATGCTTTAATGAGTAATTTTAGACCATGATTAAATTTGTCCACTTCTAATAAAATGAGATGAAATACTGAAGTTGGAACAGAAGTTTCTTTGTCCTCAACCCTCCACCCCCCAGAAAAACCCAGTTGTCTATGTCCATGCATATTGATGAAGGCAGTACTATCCAGCCAATAACTCATACACTTACAGTAGAATCTCAAGAGTTATGAACACCAGAGTTATGAACTGACCGGTCAAACGCACATCTCATTTGGAACCAGAAGTACACAATCAGGCAGCAGCCAAGCCTTCCTTGGGGGAAGGAGCAACTACTAAAAAAAAAATAAAGGGAAAGTTTAAAAAACGATTTGACAAGGTAAGGAAACTGTTTCTGTGTTTGTTTAATTGAAATTAAGGTGGTTAAGAGCAGCATTTTTGTTTTGCATAGTAAAGTTTCAAAGCTGTATTAAGTCAGTGTTCAGCTGTTAACTTTTGAAAGAACCGTAATGTTTTGTTCAGGCGATACGAACCTTTCAGATTGATGAACAACCTCCATACCCAAGGTTGTTCATAACGGTGAGGTACTGCTGTACTTTCCTTAAATCACATCTGAGTTAGTTCCATTTACAGCCAGCCGGTACATGAAATGTCAATAGCCTTAGTAAAAAGAAAAGGAGTACTTGTGGCACCTTAGAGACTCAGTAGTTACCCAGCAGACCAAGTCTCTCATCCCTTTATACATGAGAGACTTGTGTAACCCTGATTACAGAAGCTGGCACAGAGAGAGTTCCCTCAAGGATGTTCACTCATGCACCCACCTCTGGTCAGCTGGGGAAGAGTGCTGGGAGACAGCCTCCAAAAGCTAGAAAGAAAACAGGACACAGCTGAGGGCTAGAAGAATCCTGTTCTTATATCAATAGGACTGCAGTTTTGTGCTACCAGTTCTTCTATAGGGACAACAACCGCTAAAGGTGTGCAACCTGCTCCTTTGCAGAAACCCCTTTTTTGAGAGATTTACAGCTCAGTAGATAAACTTGTATGCAGCCTTTCAACCTGCAGACAGAGGCTTGGCTCCAGAGGGGCTGTCATAAGAATATTATGCAAAGCCCTTCTGTTATGCAGTCAGCACAAATGCTAGTACACATCAGCAGCATACGCTAGTGGATCTGTTCTGTCAATGTATAGTTAGAATATTACTTTGCAAAGCCAAGTTAAAACAGCAGGATCACCACTGTTACTGGGGCCCTGGGCAAAGTCAGGTATAGCAGGTAGAGAGGGTCTTTTTATACCCTGTACACCTGAGGTGGGTTAGGGAGCAAAGGTTATCACAGCAGGTGTAAATGCAGAGCTTGTGCTTTTTGGTGTTGGACATAAGAGTACATGCAGTGTTAGTGCCCTCCACTAGAAAGGTCACCTACATAAGGATTTCAGGAGCCCTCAGCCAGCCAATGCTCACTATTGATACAAAGCACCAGCATTCAGTGACAAATGTGGTTCTCTCTCTGCCTGGCTAAGCCCTGGTCCTATTGCAACTATACATAGGTGAAAAGAAAAGGAGTACTTGTGGCACCTTAGAGACTAACCAATTTATCTGAGCATAAGCTTTTGTGAGCTACAGCTCACTTCATCGGATGCATTCCGATGAAGTGAGCTGTAGCTCACGAAAGCTTATGCTCAAATAAATTGGTTAGTCTCTAAGGTGCCACAAGTACTCCTTTTCTTTTTGCGAATACAGACTAAACACGGCTGCTACTCTGAAACCTATACATAGGTGTAACTGCAGAGTAACATCAATGGCATTACTCTGGGTTTGCTCCAGTGCAAGATCAGGATTTGGTTCACTGAGTCCATGATTATTAAAGAAAAGAAAACCCAGCTGCAAGCTCTTTCAATAAGTGTCCGCAGATTTGGGTTCTGTCTCTTTACTTTTCCCTTCCTCCTTTATAGGACCTGGATTCTGCTTTTCCTGCCTTTCACTGGCCATGTTTCAACCTCAGAACCATCTTCCAGATGTTTTCCATATTCACGAGTTGGCAGTTTTATCTTCCTTAAAAACCTGCTTTCCTTTTTCAAGACATTTGCTCTTTTCTCCCTATCTGTGTTCTCACATTCAGCCTCTCTTCCCCGCTTGGTCTCTCCTCCCACTCACACCCAAACTTTTCACATATTTCTGTTTTGACCACTCTTGTTTTCCTCTTAATTTCTTCTTTAAAAATGTCTCCCTCTGTCTCACAATCAACTCATTCTCTTTCACTTCCACATTTTCTCCCCCTCTAATCCCCATTTTGCCCACCTTTGGCCTTCCATTTCTACCCGGCCCCACCTACCTCTGGTTTCTTTCCCTTCACTTTGTCTTTCCCCACTCCCAAGTATTCCCCCATTCTCCTTGGCTCTTCATACACATACCCCTCTCTCCCCATCCCTTCATGCCCCCTAGTTCTTTTATCTATTTGCCCTGCCATCATTTCTGCTCTCTCCCTCAGTCCACAGCATTTTTGCTCTGTGTCCCCCCACCATTCTTCTCCCCTGGCATTTTTCCCTCCTGTCCCCTCTCACTATATCGAAGGGGAGCGTTCAGAGCATTCTGCTGAGTGCGCTACTGTCAGTAGAACTGAATCCCCTCTCAGCTCAAGAAGCTAACCTCTCTCTGTGCTGTGTGTATGTGTGTCACTCCACAGAACATACATGCAGACAGAGTGCAGCCATGACAATGAAGAGCACCCCCAGTGGGAGGCCCCCCAATTAAGAGAAAGAGGTCAGGCAATTAACAGCAGGACAGCCCTTCAGACATCAGATCTCTCCCAGTGATGTTCTCCTCCTCCGTGCTCAGATCACAGGGCTTTTTTCACTTGCCAGCCCTAGGTGGGCTCCACAGTTGGACGACTGGGACCCCTTCAATCCCAAGTCAAACACTCTGCACATGCCCAGGAAGGACTAGCCATGCTCAGTATCCACAAGAGGGAGAGTCTGAAGACACCCCAATCTTGACACATCAGCCAATATTACTGAAGCCTCATGAAGGAGAAAGAAACAATAGCAAGAATTTCCAGAGTTAAGGCTGCCGCTCTCTTCTCAACTCACCCTCCTGTCCTTGTTATGGCCGGCATCCAGCTTCAGGCCCAGAGATAGCATGACCTAGGAGCAGAGTTGTATTTATACATCTTGGAATTAATTCACTAAGACTCAATATTAATTAAAGCACCAACAGCTTTATTTATGTCAATAATATAAATATGGTTTTACTTGGTTCTAGTTAAAACTGGAGAAGGAAGGGGACACATGACCCCTTGGGAATTTAGTGCACTCCCATGGTGGCGGGGGTGGAGGGGTAGTGTGGTATCTGGAGTTGTATAACAGATGTTATTCTGTTCTCTGTGCTGTTTTTCATGTAGAAGAGGCTCCACTAGAACTGGGGAGGAAGTGAGTTTCCCCATCTCATGAATAATTCTGAGACATCAAAAAAATTTTCCCATTGTGAATCAGGATAAAATATCCAAAATCTTAAAAATGTTTGTGAACTAAAAATCCAAAAATATATTCGGTTTGGTATTTCATTTTGATAATTTAGGAATGTTTTGTTTCAATGTTAATAGCTTTTAAATAATAATAATAAAAAAAAACCTTCAACATTTAGTTTAAATTTTGAAACAAAAAGTTACTTTGAATAGGAACAACTGATTTTTCCATTTCAAAAATGTCAAAAAATATAGATAGATAGATATAGGCTATTTCAAAACCTTTTTTTTTTTTTTTTTAGATTTCCAGTTGAAATATTCATCAAAACTGTCCTTTCCTGGCAACAGTTTCAACAAATCAGCATCTTTTGACAGGAACAATGTTGAGTCGGAAAATTCCCATCCAGCTCCCCTCCAGGCTTCTCACAGGGGCAGTCCTGAGGCAGCCATTTTGTGCTGTCAGTTAAGATACAGAATGTTTCAGAGCAAGTAAATGTGTAATTCCCTCCTCACTCTGAGCTGTCCCACCCCGCCCCCGGCACGCTCACACTCACTCTCTCTCTCACACGCACACACTTTATATTTGTTTTCTGTTGTTTTGCTTAATCTGAAATAAATGTCCTCTCCACTGAAAAATATACAGTTTGCTCAGGATGGGGAAAGGAGCAGAAGTCTAGCTTCCAAACCCTTGAAAAAGCCTGACTGAATTTAATAGGGAGTAAAACCAACAGGGTGCTGTCAAAAACTAAACTAAATATCCATGGAAGCCAAGAAAAAAATGCTTAACCTTCCTTTAGGTTTTTTGAGCCACCCCTGGAATTCCATAGCAGGGGTATAATTTTTTATTTTAATCCAAAGGATGTTCAAAAATGCCTGTAGAAAATGAATAATTAAATTCTATAGGATTTTTCCATAAAAGAAAGCCCATCAGGTGATAGGAGAGTGCGGAGATAGTCATTGGTTAGGGTTTCCCCCCACATAAGGAGCAATCTTATACAGTCAATCTAAAATGACTTATTTAGCAAAAGGAAAATCAAGAACAAATCAAGGTCAAGTCTCCTCACTAGAGCAGGTTGCCCCTCTCCTCCATTACAAGCAGTGACTCAGAACAAAATGGCTGCCCCATCCATACACCAGCAGAGTTCTTACCCACTCCTGGCACAGAGCAATAGAAAATGAAGGCATCTGAAATGTTGTAGCTACATATGCCACAGTGATCTTGAGTCTCCAAGCAAAAGGCAGCCAGCACCACACAATACATCCGTACTGTAGCAGTGGATTTTAGCAACAGATACGCAGGTAGGATCCAGAGGGCAAACACTGTGAGGAGGCTGAGGCTTAGAAGTGGAGGAACTAGAATGAAAAGATGGGTTGTCCCCTCTTTTGTGATTTTTCTCTAAGATACCTGGGAAGGCTCAAGAGCTCATTTGCTAATGACTGGGGCTTTCCTCTACAGGGAAAAGCGGAGACAGATATTTGTATATCTGAAGGATTAGGGGAGCTTCTTGCCTGATTTAGGGATGGTTTACCAGTGAAAAAACACATAGCTTCTTCTGGGAAACGAATGGGTACAAAGCGGCAGCTGAATGAATTTAATAGGGAGTAAAACCAACAGGGTGCTATCAACATGAAACTAAATACCCATGCAAGCCAAGAAAAAAAAAATGCTTAACCTTCCTTTAGGTTTTTTGAACTACCCTAGAGTTCCATATCAGGGATATAATTTTCTATTGCAAGCCAAAGGATGTTCCAAAATGCCTGTAGAAAATGTATCACTCTCTATTAAATTCTATAGGCTTGTTCTGTAAGAGAAAGCCCCGCAGGAGAGAGAGGTGAGAAATAGGAAATGAATGGGAGAGAAGAGTTAGAGTTACAGTCACCATATACAGGGCCAAGTTTTCAGACTGGCCTTCTAGTTTTGTAGGTGTAACCATTTTTGCTCCCCAAAATAGGAACACGGCCATTTTGTGCACAGCCACTTGTGAGCATAAATCACATACTCTGCTCCCCCCCTCCACCTGAGCTGACCTTGCAGCTTTTGCTTATGCAAGACAGTTGCATGTCTATTTTCTCACCCAGAACCAGCTGTGCATGCACAAGTAGCACACAGAAGCTCCCTGGCAGTCTAGCCATGGAGAGAGCATCTTTCAGATGCTGAAGGAAAAAGGCCCCTTTTCACTGAGGTGCCCACTTGCCAGTAGTGAGTATTCACCAGAAGCTGCTATATCTATTAATGCAAGTCTGCAATATAAACCCTGTAGCAGGTTGGAGCTGGTATAGGGGCTCACACCACCCCCTCATTTCCAAACCCTGACACAGGAGGTATTTCTGGGTGAAAGGAGACATGCCTGGTACATATTATAGTAATTGGGTCTATAAGTTTACCCTAATTGTAAGCTCAGCTGTGAAAAGTGAGTAAAAGTTCATAAAAATCTCAATAACCTACAACAATAAATGTTCATGGGAAAAGGTGCAAAAGAGGGACAAAGCTGAATTAATAAAAACAAAAAGACCTATTTTTATAATTCAAGGACTGTGTTAAAATCATGCTGGATAGACAAGAAACATGTGGGACAGAAAAATCGATACAGCAAAGTGTGTCAGATATTAGGTTTTACTGGTAAACAAAATAATGAGGTGATGGGCTAATCCACTCCCTTTTGGAGTTCATAAAAAACAGAGGCTTTTGGAGGAAAATTAGCAACAGAAGCAGCTATCTGCCAAAAACCACTGCAACAAGTTTACACTCATGGCTGCCACACCTCTATCTCCTGCGAACCCAGAGACTACCACAACACCACTGGGCCTTCATTGTGCTGATTCTGAGAGATGTCCTCACCAGACCAAGCCAAAAAGAGGAACCCAAATAACACCACCACCTCCACCGGCTTAATTGCAACCACTACCTGTGAGCCGTTGTCACTTACCTCTTTGCGTGTCTCTCTCCCTTTATATCTCTCTGTCCTTTTGCCTTCTGTTTAATAAGAGTCTGGCCAAGAACGTGTATTTTGCAAAACTGCAACCAGAAAAAGGCAGCTCTCAGCAATACCCCAACCAGCTTCGTGTTGGTACAAGTGCCAGATCTCAGAGTGGCTAACAAGACTATGTGCCACACACATGGTTCTCCCACACCGAGGTTACAAATAAAATGCAGAAGCTGCATTTTAAAAAATCTCTCTCCCCTCTTGTGCATATTTGCCTTGCTTTATCTTTTAGGACACACACACAGACTTCAAGAACAGCAGCTTCAGCTAACTTCATTTTCCCCCTATCCCAGAGTGTTCCCTCAGCTACCCACTGTGCCACACTGCATGGCCCATTTGGGTGGTCTCTTACTCAGTCTACACAAATCCATTTCTTTTCCTCATATCTATCTTTACATTCCCAGCATAGCAGAACATAGCATAGGCATGTGTCAGGGGACACCTTCTACCCAACCTGTTCTACCACACCCAGCTCACTCTCTGAGGTCCCCTCTTACCACTTGTTCCTGCTAATTCTATATCTTCCCTTATTGAGCTCATTAGCCCAGTCATCAACAATCTCCACCAGAAGAAGTTAATTGCCACCAGTTCAATCTGTAATCTTCTCTGTTATGCAATTACCTAAGTGACCAGGGTGCTACAGTTAGCACTCTGTCATAGCCCCAAAAAGGACAATTATTATCCTTAATATCATCTAAAAGACTATCAAGTAACGGGGTTTCCTTTTGATAGCTCTCCAGATGAGGGAAAGTAAACAAGGAATGTTGTTAAAACAAAAGCCTGACTTAATACTTTACAGTTCAAATGCTTTATCTGTTTTTCCTTCTTTTCTGTATCTTTAATAAAAGGTTTAAAAGATTTTTAATGGTGTATTTGCCATGGTACTAAGCAAGCTGAAATCTCTGTATGCCTAACCCTGAATCTTGTTTAACACTGTTTAATATTGGACAGTAAGATGATCATGTTAAGACCTTTGACTCTTTAGGCCCATATATTTCATCAAAATTAATACAAAATTTCTGGCATCCCAGGCCGGGTCTAAAGGGTTAATAGATACGCAGGAGCTGGTATCTTAGCAAACAAGCAATTGTTTTCAAAATTGGTTTAAAACAAAAGTTTGTTTTAAAATCCTGAAATGTGTTAAGCTTGTTTGGAACAAGCATGCAAAGCACTGTTTTTTGCTTCAAAAATAAGTTGAACAATTGTTTTAAAGTTATTATTTTTGTAACCTTTAAATAAATGCTTTTTGTTTTGTTTTAAGGTTTGTAGTTTCTTTAACTGGTAATAATTTTGAGAAGTTTAAGAAAAAAGTATTTTTAAGAAAAAGCAAAAGTGGTAAAAATAAAGTGTTACAAATTGTTGCTAAAGCAGACTTAAGTTGCTAAAGGTTAAGCTGCTATAGCAGACTTTTACTAAAATAACGTCATGGGTAACCCTTCTTCCCAACCTTGTTAACAACATGCCAGCTTCATTCAGGGCTGCTCCTGCATTACCTGTAAATTAAGTTTCAAACCACCTGAAACAAAAGCTGTTGCAAACTTTTTTGTAATTTTGGTGACTGTTTTGTTTCTGAAATGTTTTCCTTCCTTCTTGTTTTTGCAATTTTGTTGTTGTTTTACAATTTTTTTCCTGTTTTGTTTTTGATGTCAGCGGTTTTTGTTATCGTTGTCCTTGTGCACGTAAAACAGACTGATGCTAGTGTTGCAGGTTAAATCCCCATGATGGGTTAAGCTGCCACAATGGCCATGTTGTCCACACAAATGTCAGTGGTGAAACAGGTGGGCAGGGTCTGTCAGAGACTAAAAATGCCTGCAAATTTTTACTGCCTTTGTGGGGTTGAAAATGGCTCATCAATGCAAAAGTGCTTCCAAAGGAACATCATCTTATTGCTTTTTTGTTTAAAAAAAAAAAAAAGGCAATATGCTGGGGTAAAAATGCCATATGGGCTAAAAAATTCTCCAAGTAAGCAAGTTTAACCACTAGTATGTAAAATTGTCACCATTTGTGCAAAGGTACTGCGTTAAATGTATGAATGGCAAAAAGAAGGGTAAAAGGTTTTTTCCAGTTTTACCCATTCTGGGCATACAGCCAAAGAAGTAATAAAAGCTGGTTTGTTTTTAAATATCTTACAAACGTATAACAGCAGCAGCTCAGGGTTTGTTTTAGCAGCAAATAGAGTCAGTTGTAAGTCCTTCGCTTGTTAACATCTGGAAGGTTTAACTGCAATTTCTGTAACATCTAATCACATAAAATTTGTAAGCCCCAATTTAAGAATAAAAATTTTGCAAACCTTAAAATATAACCAAATGCCGTTTTCTTTTTCTTTGTTTCTATGTGCTTAAATTAAAATACGTTTTTTATTTTAGTAATTGTAATTTTATGGACCATTGTCCAATCCTAGCGTGAATTGGTTTGTAAAAGAAAAGGATTACATTGTAATAATTGGGGTTACAAATTTACCCTAATTGTAAACTCAAGTATGAAAAGTGAGCAGAAGTTCATAAAGTCTCACAATAACCTATAACAATAAATGTTAATGGGAAAAGGTGCAAAAGGAAAACAAAAAAACCCTGAATTAATACAAACAAAAAGGCCTAATAATATAATTCAAAGACTTTGTTAATCATAGAATCATAGAATATCAGGGTTGGAAGGGACCTCAGGAGGTCATCTAGTCCAACCCCCTGCTCAAAGCAGGACCAATCCCCAACTAAATCATCCCAGCCAGGGCTTTGTCAAGCCTGACCTTGAAAACCTCTAAGGAAGGAGATTCCACCACCTCCCTAGGTAACCCATTCCAGTGCTTCACTACCCTCCTAGTGAAAAAGTTTTTCCTAATATCCAACCTAAACCTCCCCCACTGCAACTTGAGACCATTACTCCTTGTTCTGTCACCTGGTACCACTAAGAACATTCTAGATCCATCCTCTTTGGAACCCCCTTTAAAAACATGCCTGGTAAACAAGAAGAGTATGGGACTAAAAATTAATAAACCAAAATTGGTGTGTTGGATATTAGGTCTTATTGGTAAACAAAATAACAAGGGATGGGCTATTCCACCCATCACTCCCTTTTGGGGTTGTTTTTTTTTTAAGAAAAGACTTTTAGGGAAAAATTAGCAGAAGAAGCAGCTGTCTGCCAACAACAGCTGCAGCAAGCTTTACCATCCTGGCTGCCACCCCCACTGTCTCCTGGCTTCCCAAAATCTACCATGACACCTTTGGGCCTTCATTGTCCTAATCCTAAATTGTGTCCTGACCAGACTAGGCCAAAGAAAGGGACTCAACTTTGCCAGCTCCACCAGCTCTAGATAAAGCCCATCCACCACCTGGCATGTGAGACTTTGTTACCCTCCCTTGTGTGTCCTTTTCCTCTCTCCCCTGCTCACTTCCCCCTTATTTCTTTTTTGTCCTGTCTCTCTCCTTTTAGCTGGCCAAGACTGTGTATTTTGCAAAACTGCTTTAAGAGTGAAACCAGAAAAAAGCAGCTAACAGCAATGCCCTGAACAACCCAATGTTGGTACAAGTTTCCAGGTCTCAAAGAAGTAATAATACCTTGTGCCAGGCCAGAGCCTGGCTGTGAGGCGGTGAATACAAACGGAAACAGAAGCTGCAGTTTCTAGCTTTGCTGTTCTTTCCTCTCCCCTCTTGTGTGTGTTTGCCTTGTTTTGTCTTTTACGAAAAGGAATCAGATTGCAGCAATAACAGCTCCAGCCCATCTCAACTGGCTTCTCTTTTTCCTAAAAAGGACAATTATTGCAATAGTTAATGCCATCTAAAAAACTGTCAAATGGGAGAGGAGGGTCCTTTTAAAACTCTCCCCAGCTAGAGGGAAAGAAAAGAAGAAATAAAACCCTACTTAATACTTTATCTTTCAAATGCTTTAACTGTTTTTCCTTTTTTTCTCTGTATCTTTAAGAAAAGGTTAAAATATTTTTAATGGTATGTCTGCCATCAGGCTGAGATCTCTGTATACCAGACCCCAAACCTTGTTTAATCCTGTTTAATGTTGGACAATAAGAGGGTCACATTAACACCTTTTGACCCTTTCGGCCCATATATTCCTTCAAAATTAATACAATATGCCCTGTGCTCTCTCTGTCCCTGGCTGGAGGACTGGGCGGTTGGGGCTGTGCACAGGTGGGTGTATGTAAGAACATCCTTCAACATTCATTAACTCATGGTGGGGATGGGACTAGGCTCCACCAGCCAATGGATCCAGGGGCCACCAAAGTGGCTTAGAATGATCATTGCAACCCTGGCACTGCTCCTAGTGCAGTTCAGCTGATCCTGATAATCTTACGCAATAGAACAACCCACACAAGGGAGGGTTTGCCAGATCAGACCCAGAGTTTTTAATATGCCCCTAGGTGTACTTAAAAAATAAAGTAAGTATTGCCACTACTCACTACAGTTGTCCTTGAACAAGTTACACCACACTAGTTATCTGACTACTATTAGGTTTCCATCCCAATTCTTCCCCAACACCACACCTGTCACCAGCTGACTTGAACCTGAGCCAACAGTGAGTTCAGCTGTTCGATTTGGTTTCAGTTCCCACCCCTACCTCGTGTCACTGGAAACAACTTTATCAGCATATCCCTAATACTGATTCTTTCCCTGGGATTCAGCATGTTATTTCTTTGTTTCTTCTGCACTAATTTAAAGGTCACATCATGCAAATACCACAATGCAGCAATGTTGCTGCAAGATTCCCAATAGAAGAGTGAGCATAGTCATTAATCTAACAGCAAGGTGGGTGAAGGAATACCATAAGGCTCCTTTAAAGTGCTCTCTGCCTTTCCCCCTGCTCCCCCAAGGAGGCACTTTCTCTTGGGTGCAGTGATGAAATACAGAAAATCTTTGCTTCAGCTGAGTCTCTGTGTGGCAGGAATACAGGAGGGCCCAATCTTGTGCTGAGCACTGTCTTTGGCTTCAGGAGGAGTTGAAAGCACCATTGCAGCCCTTTGCAGGTTCAGACTCAGTGTTACTAAGGTCCAATCCTCCCGCCCCCAAGCAAACAAAAACGTAGCCAAATTTCACGAGGGCTAGGCACAGGGAGCCATTCCACCACACGCTCTAAAGTTAGAGCTAAGGAGGGAGAGGGAACCAGCAACCCAGAGCCTGCCTGATGTACTGACATTTAAAATACATAGTGTTCCAGTATGAAGCAATTCTAAAGAAAAATAGCCCATGCTAACTGAGCAGGTAGATAAACAACAGCCGTGGGTGCTGCCAGCCAAGAAGGCAGAGTTCTGGAAAGGGATCTGGGTGCCAGGAACAGGGTCAATGGAATGTGTTATGGAAATACTGGGGCCATCTGGGGCTCGGGGAGAAGGCCAGCAGCACCAACTCCTTACAGACCCTTTTGCAATCATTGCTCTTAGGCAGAGCTTGCTGGAAAATGGGGGGTAGTTCCCCCAGAACATTTTGTTGGAAACAAAATTATTTTTTCACAACATTTTCAGTGGAAAATTTTGACCTTTTGTTGAAAGACCTAAATCTCTAATGCTGATTTTTTTTTAGTTTAAAAAAAAAAATCAACACTCAGTTTGCTGATGAAAAAACAAGACATTTTGAGGAAAGCTGACACACACCATGAAAATTTTTGTTGCATCAAAAAAAGTTTTTGACAGACATTTGGATTTTGACACAAAGTTTCCAACCAACTGCACTAGGCAGCGGTGCCTAGTGACTAGCGCATTGGAATGGGAATCAGTGCCTGCTGGGTGACCTTGGGCAAATCACGTCCCAGGTTTGAGCCTCAGCTTCCCCAGTTGTAAAATGGGGACACTGATCTCCTTTGTAAAGCACTTTGAGATCTGCTATGTAAGTGCTCAGTGTGGTTATGATTTTCACAGGCTCTGTCCCGGCATGGAGCCTTCAACTTGCTGCCAGCACTTGAAATCACTTCTCAGGTGTGCTCAGGACAGGACTGAGTGAACCTCACCTTTCCTGCTAACTGTAATTAATTCCTATACTGAAGGGAAATAAGACTCGAAGACCAGGAGCTGAGTGGCAATGCTGCTGGATGTCACCATGGGAAAAAAACTGCTTGTGGGGTCTTACTCGGAAGGCTGGTAGGTACTGAGATTGCTATGGAGGTGTTGCACTGGGGAATGGCGAGAGAGCCTCATGCCACTGAATAGCCACCTCACCTCGACAGCAAATGAAAGAACACTTTTAACTGTTCTTGGCTGCTGTGAATGACGGTCCTGACAGGGGCTTGAGCATAGGAGGATAAAATAATGAAAATAGGGGAGGGGCAGGAGTTTTCAGATCTCTATGATGATGAAGAATGCAAAGGACAAGGTGATCACTGGGGTACCACAGAGATAAGTGCTGTATAAGAACCTGAATAGATAGGCCCAACTCTTATAGATCAGGCAGGTGGACAAAGAAAAGGTATTTTGTAGACACACTGCTCTGTCTCCAGGAGCTGTGCAAGCTGCACCTCTTTCATCACTATTAGCAATATGCCATAATGAGGCAGTACAAGGAGCAGTTTGCTCTCTCCGCTACCAGGGGCAGTGGGAGGCAGGGAAGGGGAAGAGGTTAGCTGGAATCAGAAAGCAACAAAGTAGTAGGACAGAATATATGGATAGATAAAGACACTATAAACTGTACCTACGACCCAGTAGACAACAGACAGCTCATTCATTGATGCTCAGGTACTTACATATAATACACAGTCTTACAATAAAAGTACTGTAGATGGATGTGAACTTATCATTCTAGACAAACAGAGATTTATTTATTTTGCTTTCTTTGCTGCAACACAAAAAAGAATGCAGAACACTGATGTTTCAAATGAGAGGAGTGCTTCCTTTGTTTTGCTTTACAAGATGTTGTCTCTGTCTGTGCTTCTGAAATGCAGAGACTGAGGCTCATGCAGAAACCTGGGGCATGCAATCATCCCTTTATCACAGTTAACTAGTGAAAAAGACAGGTTCCTATTAAAATGCAATGGCTAAAAGTGGTGAAATATGATTTTTAACCAGCAAATTGTAGCTTGGGTTATAAAGGCAGATTTAGAGGAAGTGGGTATGTTCTCACTGAGTCAGTATGAGAGGGTAACTGTAGGAGGCTAATTTAAATAAAGTCAAGGGGCTGAGTGGTGAGTTCTGAACTGTATGATGCTTTGTGGCTGAGTTAGTTACATTTGTAACTGCACTCAATCACTGTGATGGCTGGCTTTTTTGTTGTGAATCAACCTGCTATTGTAGTGACTAGGATATATTGCTCCCTCTGCTGGATGGACTCAGATCTGCTTGTGTACAGTATTCTGGTATTAATTGGGAAAAGCAGCAGCCCTTAGCAAGTCCCACACCAGAGGACTGCTGGAGAAGCAGTTGCCAGGCACTTCCTGAAGATCTAGACCTGTGGTTCTCAGCGAAGAGGTATGTATACCCCGGGGGATTCGCAGAGGTCTTCCTGGGGGTACAGCAACTCATCTAGATATTTGACTAATTTTAAAACAGGCTACATAAAAAGCACTAGCAAAGTCAGTCCAAACTAAAATTTCATACAATGACTTGTTTATATTGCTCTATATATTATACACTGAAATGTAAGTTTAAAATTTATACCCCCAATTGATTTATTGTATAATTATATGGTAAAAATTAGACACTAAGCATTTTTTTCAGTAATAGTGTGCTGTGACACTTTTGTATTTTTGTCTGATTTTGTAAGCAAGTAGTTTTATGGTGAGGTGAAACTAGGGGTACACAAGATAAATCAGACTCCTGAAAAGGGTACAGTACTCTGGAAAGATTGAGCACCACTGATCTAGAGGAGATCACCTGACCCTGGAAGCCCTGTAGGGGACAGGAATATGGACCACCCCAAAACAGAAAAGGAGTGTCAAGGCCTGGAGTGAAAGGACATGAGGGAAGAGAGAGGAGATGGGCTTTTTCTTGGGGATTTAGGATAGAAACCTTATGGGTCAGGTTCATAAACAGCAGTATCGGTTTCAGTTTGTATCGCCCATATGACCTGACCCCAATCTAGGGAGACCAGATAGCAACTGTGAAAAAACGTGACGGGGGTGGGGGATAATAGGCGCCTATATAAGAAAAAGTCCCAAAAAACAAGACTATCCCTATAAAAACGGGACATCTGGTCACCCTATCCCAATCTGGCTTACGCAGGCCCTAGTGAAATCCCTAACCAGTGTTGCCAACTGGGGCTTCAAGAAAAACACCAAAGATTGCATTGTAATGATCTTGGGGTTCATTAAACAACAAAACAGTGGATGAGGAAGGAATAAAACTTTTAATAAAACAAACTAGAGAGCTTCTGTGGTGAACTGCTGTACACAGCTACATTGTGTTCTCAACCTCAGCTTCTAGGGCACATCTCTAAATTCCTATGTTCATAATACTGCCCCTTATGTGTGTGGGGCGGGGGGAGGAGAAAACCTGGATTTGTGCTGGAAATGGCCCAACTTGATTATCATACACATTGTAAGGAGAGTGATCACTTTAGATAAGCTATTACCAGCAGGAGAGTGGGGGGGGAGGTATTTTTTCATGCTTTGTGTGTATAAAAAGATCTTCTACACTTTCCACAGTATGCATCCGATGAAGTGAGCTGTAGCTCACGAAAGCTTATGCTCAAATAAATTGGTTAGTTACTAAGGTGCCACAAGTCCTCCTTTTCTTTTTGCAAATACAGACTAACACGGCTGTTACTCTGAAACCTTATGAGGGAGCGTCTCTAAATATCTCATATTATA